CATCCTTCATGCTTTATCAGAATTCTGCAGGTCTAAGCGCACAATTATTTCCTGCTCCTTTGAGGAAAACAACTAAACAAAAGGACCCCAAATGGGAGTCAGACAGTGACAATTATACAGTTTCCAATCTTTTTTATACCTGACCTGTAAACTTGTCAGCTGTGTCTCGACTATACTGATAACCAACAGCACAACTCAAACTCACTATTGGGAAAAAGCCTGCCTTCTGCAGCTTGACTCCACCTGTAAAAACTATACATTCTTTCCCTTTATGCAATGTAAATTTATCTTCTCACTTCTTTCACCCATGGAACTAGTATGATGGATCATGTTTTTAGAAATCTACTCCTTACCACTACAGGGAAACTCTTAAACTACTCCTCCCTCCTCCTTCACAACTTCATTTGATCCCGACCTTTGCCACAGGACATCTTATCTCAAACACAGTCAAACTCCTGTACTATCACAAATTAAGAAAGCAAATAAGCATACTAAGCAGGTTATTCAAGAATAGTTTGCATAGACAAAAAGCAGAGACACACTCAAGAAAAGAAAATACAGGTAATATGAGTCAGTAAGAATGCAGTCTAAAGAAATGAAATTGATTATAAATCCTCTCTTAAATTGACAGAAGCAATTAAACTAAATTAAAAGTAAATTAAACTAAAGACCATCCCTATTAGAGCTTTTAATCCTGACTATGTAAACGTGCTGTTACTAACTCTGTCCACCTGAAGTCTGAGCTACACTACACCATCTCTGCAAGCAGAAATTGTCATCTTCCACTGCAGAACAGCATAATCCAGCTCTCTGTTGCTGGAGCAAAGTGTCTGTGAGCCCAAGTCCTCAGACAACACAGAAGTACTGGCTAAATGCCACTGAGGATGCACTGCAGCAGTACAGCAATGGCAGCAGCCCTGCTGACCTAAGGCAACTGTGTTATGTATTGATGTAACAGCTCACAGTAGAGATGTGCACTATCAGCAAAACCTGTTACAAGTAAAAATTTCAATAAGACACTGCAATTTTTAGGACTTTATGGCTGCTAATGGTCAGTCTTGACATAAAGTGCCTATCCACAGCTTTCAACAACACAGCTTTGCAGCTGATAGGAAGATCCTGAATGTTGATAACTACAATTTCTTCCTTTTTTGCCTTATAGAATAACAAGAAGCTCACATGAATTCAGTTCCATACTTCTGAAAATAACATCAGAATTACAAGCAAGTAAATGCTTGTGGATCCCTTGCAACTCAGGATATTTTGTCATTGTATCATTCTAAACCATAAACAAAAAAGGGCTAAAGGGTGTTAGGTTTCAGTTGGACTTGATCTTCAGGGTCTTTTCCAACACATATGATTCTAGGATTCTATGATTCCATGAAAGTTATATACAAATATAGGTATTCTTGATGGTTCTGTTTTAATTCAATTTAATTTAATTTGCTTAAATCATCATGAGTTACAAACAAATGAACTGGAACAGACCTGCTTCATGTCTTACATGGAGTACACACACATAAAGACCATTTTTATATATATTCTATACATATAAAATTACACATATGCGACTACCTGCACGACATATGTAGTGAGTAGCTAGTAATCATACATTTATTATAATAGTAACACATTTATAATATAGTTGGTGTAGTTCCCATCTACGATGCTAGATGCACTCACATTCTCCATCACAGGAATACTTACATTTTAACCACATTACTCCTATAGCTATGCTGTCCCTGAGTCTCAGACCCCTCCAAGTTACAAACGCTCTTCCAGTCTGCAGACGAAATGCACTGCTGTTGTGCCACTACCCCCTTGCAACTGAGCTCCCTGCCTTTCATCATATTGACAAAGAGATCACAAACAGAACAACTTTATACAGGGCAATAAGCCCAGCTCTCTCAGAGCTCCATTAGTCTTTTCTGCTGGACTGTGCTGCACAATGAACGAAAATCATACACAGAAATCCAGGGAGGCTGCCCTTGGTACCTCCAACATTAATGTTCCCCAATGCATATTAAGATTGCATTTAGCTGTCTTTCACACCCATACACCATTAGCAGTCCACTTTCAATCACTGTAAGTTATATTTTTTCTCCTCTCCAACTGACAAACTTTCCAACTTTTCTAACCTGAAGATACTCACAAACTAAAACAAAATACTGTTACTAGCCCATAGTCTCATACTCAGTACCATTTACAACTAAAGTAAAAGCAACTGAACAGGCATCTACTCATACTGTTGGGAGTTAAGTAATTCCTCATTAGCAAATATGGCATTTTTAGCATTAAAAGATTGTCATTCAAAGCTAATATGCAATCTACAATGTCCTGTGACTAAGAAAAAAGTTGATCAAAAGTAAATACCATGTTTAATCAAATGCTATTTCAGCTGTGCCTTTATTTGTCACACTTCCTAGACATTCTCCACCCTCATCTTTACAGAGGATTGTTGTAATGCTTAACACTGAATTATCCGGTGTGAGGAAGAGGGAATCATTTCACTTAAGAACCACTTAGGTGAGGCAAGAGAAAAATTACACATTGTTAGTTTGCTTTACCAAGCCTTGCTCCAAGCCACAGACTAAACTAGCTCTTGAACACAATTAATGTATTTCACTTTCTTGTTTTTCCAAAGATGGACTGATCTTGCACATGTCTGTTACAACCTGTTTCTAATTTTATAAAACTGGAGAGGCAGAAGGGTGCTCAGGCTGGCAGATTTTTTTGAAATGAGTCTCTGCCAGATGAGAACCCAAGTGTCACTTTTAATTAAGTTTCAGTGATGAAACGGGGTTTGTGTACTTTTGTCAACTACTTAACACCACTCACATTCAAACTGCAGCTGAGTTTTGAAGTTAGCATCCATTCAAGAAGAAGGGGTAAAATAAATACTTCTTTCTGACTAAGAGACGGCTGTACATAAAACCATTTTTGCAGCAGAGGTAAGACCAAAATGCATCTGAAAATACAGAGGTATTGCACCCCGATAATAAACTACTAAAATTCCTGCTGTTACAAATAGTGGGTGGCATACAGGTATTACACATACTTGCTTCTCAGCAGGAAAGCTCAGTATGACTTCTATTCCCATAACTTTCCACTTTCCCTGAGTATCTGGACAGCAGACATTGTTCCATCTATGAAGAGTCAATCTAGAAACCGCAGGTGGTTTCCATAGAAAACACAACACAACTCCTTTGATATTAGTTCAACATAGCTCGTTTTTATCTGATATAAAAAGCAACCCAACAAGGGAGGCTTCACTTCGAGTCTTGCCACCAAAATTCCCATCTGTTTCGTAAGACAGAACTCACACAAAACAAGCTAAACACACCTCAGTCCCTAAGAAAGTTATAGTATAGCATGTCTTGTTCTCTTACAGCCACACACTACTACTCTTACAGACAGAAAAATGATGCTCAAAGTGACTACAACATGCCTGTTTGACATAAAAGGTTTCATTCCAAGAATATTACTCAGCAGCTACCCAGGGTAGCACTCTAATTCCTTATGCTAAAACCTGTGGATTTGAAAAATGGCCAAGACACCTCATACTCAGAAGTGCACATCACCATAAAACACAGTTTGTCTAGTCCAGTTTTGTCTCTATTAGAGACCCTCGCTTCTCATGAAAGCCTGGATTCAGAAAGTCATGTCAAGGCAGATAGCATCTGGCTCTGCTCTGTCCCCAGATTTGGACTGCCTGAGGAAGCACTTACTATACATACAATACAGAACTTTCATGCCAATAATCTCTGAGGAATTTCAGCCAAATAGTGCAGACTAGCTTGAATACTGTGACTGCCCTTGTGTTTCTACTGACTTCTCAGTAATTGGCTTTCTGTCTCTGCATATTCCCACACACATTCTACCAGTACTGACAATATAAAAGGAAGCTAACAAGCTTCAGGCACTGCTTTCTTAGTAGAACTAAAATGAGACCAATGCAGGAGTAATCCTGTCAAGAATTAAGATAAGGGCCTCTGAAAAGGAGCTCACAGATTTGTATTTCCTTCTTTGGAATGCTACGGGTCATTTTATCTACTGATACAAGGTGAAATATGGCTATTTGTGCTTTATACTCCTCCATACACTGTAATTTTAATGAAATCACATATGAATGTAAGTGCGAGCAAGATGAGCCCACAGGATTTTTAAGTAAGTTTACCTCCTAACATTAAGAAGAATATTATTTCTTTCCAGCTCCCTCATCTCACTAACTCTGTATGATAACGGGCGTGTCTGCCTTCGATTTGAAACCAAATATATGGGAAAGGGGCATTTATTTAACAACAATATTTTATACACACACTCTATCCAGCACTACTGGGTGGGGTCCAGCACTGCTCAGCTGTGGACATAAAGCAGCAGAGATGCTGAAAACGTACAGAGGAGCCTTACTTTGCTGTTTGAATTTCACAAAATAAGTTCCTAGCTTTCATACATATGCCACGAACACCGATTTATTTTTCCTGCTTTCCTTGTATCACCTCCCAGCTGCACTCCCGGGCAGGTGCCGTCTTGAACAGCAGCCCCTGGGATACCGGAGGCCGGGTAGGCACAGGGAGAACAAACCCGAGACGGCGGGCAGGCACCGGCGGAGCAGGTCGGCGCTGCCCCGGAGCCCGCGCCGGGTTCCAGACTCCCGGCGCCCTGCGGGCACAGTCGGCGGGAAGGATTCCCAGCGGGGGCTGTCGCTCGCTTCCCCTTTCTCTCCCGGCTCCCCGCAGGCCCCCCGGGCGGGGGGGCCGCTCGCTCCCGACCCCGCCGTTCCGCGCTGCCCCGGCCGGCGGCGCCGCAGCGCCCGCGGCAGGTGCTGCCCCGGCCCCTCGAGGGCCCCGCGCCCCCGGCCCCGCTCCCGCCGCCAGCCGGGCACCCGGTGCGGGCTGGCGGCCCCGGCCCGCCGCCAGGGGAAGTTTCCTGGCGCTGGAAGGGAGGAGGGTCCCCGCAGGCGGCCCGGGACGGGGCCGGGCGGGGCGGTGAGCACTTACAGCCGTCTCTCCTGCGGCTCCAGCTGCCGGTGCATGGCCAGGGAGAAGCCGAAGAGGCTGCCCGGCTCCCCGCTCCAACTGACCACGTTGTCCGTGTCCAGGTTGAAGGCGCCGGCGAGCGCCGGCAGGAGGGGCAGGTAGAGGAGGAGCGCGGCCGCCATCTGCTCTCGCCAGGCACGGAACCTGCCGCCGCTCCCCGCGCTCGGCGCGCCCGTCCTGCCCCGCCGGCCCCGCGCCGCCACTGGCCCGCCCGGCCCCGCCCTCCGCGGGCTGCCCGGCCCCCGAGCGCCCGCTACGCGCCGCGGGGGCGGCGGGCACGGCTCGGCACCGCACGGCACAGCCGGGGCTCGGCTCCCCTACCCAGGCAGGGGCAGCCGGAGCAGTCCCGCGCCTGCCGCGTCCCCCGCATCGGGGGTCTGTGCCCTTCGTGGCAGAAAATAAAGCCGTGCCGGGGGCAGGTCACAGCCGCAGGTGAGGGTTTCCCCGCACTGGCGGGGGAAAAGGGCAGAGAGCCCCCTCGGTGGGGGTGGGGGGTGTTTTACACATCAAACCGTGTCCCCAGGGGACTCACACCGGTCTGGGTGGCGCTCAGCGGCATCAGGGATCCGGTCGGTCCGGGTACCGAGCATGTACATAACACACTGCTGAAGTGTGCTAAGGTTGATACAGAACTACGGCCAGCATGACCCCAGTATTCAGTCTGTATTCCCCAAACAACACATCCACAAGAAGAAGGGGGAAGCGGGGGGGAAGGCATATTTATTTCTGTTTTCCAGACTCTTTGGACAGCACATCAGGACAGAGACTCAAGACTATCTAAATCTCCTCCTCCAGCATTTCCTACCTCTGAACACACCTGAGAATTTCTTACCCCTACCTTTTAATTGTTTGAAAGCAATATGTGGTTTTGGATCCCAGATCATTTTATCTTGTGCCTTTACCTATAACTCCAGAAGGGTATTTGCAAGCATAGAGGTTTTGGTCTTTTTGCACAGGGTCTTGGTTTAGTGCTCTGGTTCAGAGAAGTGGATGCAAACTATTAAAATTCCAAAAACTATTCCAAAACTATTCACAAATTCCAAGCATGACGACACTGGGTTATTCTTTTCTACCGATATTCAGGATGTGAAGAGAGAAGCTAAGATTCAGAGAAAGTGAGAAAAGAGCAATTGAGACAGAGCATTCAAATATGTTGATACTCCAAATAACTCCTTCTGGAACAATACTCTGCTCCCATGGAGTTAATCCAGGCTACTTTTTCCAGAGTAATTATTCTAGGATAACTCCATGTATAGACAAGACTTTGGCTCAAGTCCAAAACACCCTTGATCAAAAGAGAGGAAGAAAACACACCAGAAATGTGCATCTAATGTGGCAACAAAACATTTTGTTAAATTAGGCTCACAGATATTTATTGCTAATAGAGTCCTTCCCTGCTTCCTCTTCATGCCCAACTTATTCAAACTCTTAATCCAGTGTTCAATCACTGCCACAGCAGAACACTGTACTGGCATAAATACCACCCTACAGTTTCACTAAAGGGCCCATAAGAAGGAAGAGTCCCAGACTAATTACAAGCTGACTTACTACAGTCCACGTATTTCACAGTAATTAGTAAAGATTCAAAACCAAGTATTTTTAAACCGTGTTGATGTCTGTACCAAAGTCGTAGCAGTTTGCCTTTCAGAACATTCAAAACTTGCATGCTTCTAATACTCTAACAGTAACTATAGTTACTTTTTAAATACTGCCTGTACTCAGCAACTTCTGTAAGGAGTCACAGAAATCATCCAGAGCCACTTGAATGATATTGGCACATTAGGTGTATCTGATTTCTCCCCCTCCCTCTAAGCAGCACTGCCTGGGCATGTTGTACCTATTTGTTGTTATCCACAGAGGTTGCTGAGGGGAGAACAGGGTTTTATCATCTCCTGATGCAGTAACAAGCATTCCAAGATGTAGTAACATTAAAACCTGTCTCAAGTGACCACAGCAAGAACAACAAAAATAGACTCTACAAAGGGTAGAGCAAATCTGCACACAAACAGCTTAGAGTTACCTTGGATGGTCTCTTGTAATTTTGTGCTATTTTCATTTGCTCCAGATGAGGAGAGAAAAAAAAAAGTTTTACAAATATGTCAGTTTCCTTCCTTTGCTCTTCCTCCAAAACAAACATGCTGTGAGTTATCTATAACTAACATGTACTTCAGGAATTCCTCTTTTTTACAATCCCTGTATAAAAGGGGATCAAGATTAGGTCTGATGACCAACTAAATGTGAGCACCCTGTTATGCATAATAATGTAGCGATTCTAAGAAATGCAATGGCCAGATCAAAGGCGTTTCTCTTTTTTGTAACAAACACTCTGCTATTGCTGAGTTTTCAAGCTGTCTGCTTATTAATGGTGTGTTGATACCCAGCCAAAAGGCTACAAGGTGTTTGCCTGTTATGTCTACATATTAGAGCAAGCCTTACTGCCAGCAATACTTTCCTCCTCCATACAGCCTTGTCACTAATTACAAAGAAAAAAATAATTTCTCAAAAATAGAAGAAGTGGAATGGAAAAGCTAGAGCTTGGCAAGACATTTTAGACTTTCCCTAGAAGGCACAATGCTTTACATTTCTGAACTTCTATCATTTATATCAACAATATACTATGCAGAGAAATACACAGTTTGTGGATACTCAGCTCTGCAGTTTTAATGCAGCACATCAAATGGTCCTGAAAAGGCAAAATATGTAAACATCCCCTTCCCACTTCCTTTCAAAAAACTGCTTGATTTTATAATTTACGTAATTCCAGATGAAAAAATAATACTGGCAAAACCGGTTTGGATTGGTTCACTGTACAAGTTCTAAAGATACAGTGTTGTTTCAATTCAGAAATATAAACTAGTTTTAAGTGTTAGTAGCCTGAATCAACCTTCTGTGTGGTTCCTCCTGAACACAATACTCATACCATTTCTAGAACTGCATGTTCTCCAAATTAATTACATTTATTTATTGAACAGATGCATCTCAACAGCTACAACAAACAACAATTTTTATGCAGCCAGGTTATTAGACTATTTTTCCCAGTATATCCTCTATGGCTGTTCTTGGTTTCCTGTTAACAATTACATTAGGAGTAGCAAACAGCAGCACAGGAGATAAAGGGGCTTATAGTGGTAAGTGACACAAACTGCTTAACACCATGTAAGCAAAATGTTTTGCTTTGAACAGTCTAAAAACCAGAGCATTAAAATAGTTACATTTACACACCTGGTATTCTGAATTATACAGAACTGACACTAATTGTATTTTTGTCATTTATAACTGGATGAAGAATGTCTCGATTTTTACTATCTTTTCAGAAAGGTTACCAAGATGCAGCTTTTTTATTAAGTGCTATATTTAAACTACAGTTCTAGATGAAGATGTTGCTATGTTCGTGTGACTTTTCTCTTTGATGTCTAAAACAACTGTAGATGACATTCTGCCTTTCTTTACTTGCATGCAAAGTAAAAACTTTTTACCTCAGTAGACAAAGTATTTCACAAATAAAAAGATGAGTAGAGAGAAATATTTCAGTTCAGACTCAGAATTTTGGTGAACACTGTGACCACTGTTACAGCAGCTCTTTCAGTCTTTTACATCTAGAGAATGTTTTTCCACCCAAGTTGTCAGGTACATTCCTTAAGTAGTTTCAGAATGACCAGCCTGAACTGTTTGGAGAGTAAACATCTTTGTAAACATACTTAGAGGCACTTTATGAGCGTAGCTAGGCAGAGATCAGAGAAATGCTGGTGACAAATGGGAATTGAGTACCCATAGTTTGGATTGCTGTGGAAGGAATTAAAGCAGCTCCTTCAAAACTACTTATAACTAAGGCATAAAGTTGCAGTGATTTTGAACATATGCCTGTATTCTAATTCACTTGTTACATATACCGCTATGTAAGATTCCCCCCTCCATAAGAGTAGCCCAAGCTGCAACACATCATAAGCACCTTTGCAGCCCCATTCTGTGGTTCTCTCAGACAGCCATTTATATCCCCAAATCACTTACATCATCACAGTCGAAACTTGTAGCACTGACAGCATCCCAGAGCTGTCTATACCATGCATGCTCCTTGATCTGCAATACTGTCCTGCACATGAAACCTTGTTTGTCTTGTAGCACTTTTCACCAGGGTAGAGAGATATAACCCAATACCAGATGCAAACTTTTGGGCAGTTCTAGCCAACTCTCCCTCCATGTCTATATGTGTATCTTCCAACCAATTTGCACCAACTATTGCTTATAGGTGAGCAGAGGAGATTAAAAAGATAAGCAAGGTATTTCTTTGGTAGGTGTTGGTAGAGAGCAGAAGAGTAAGAGAGATGGTTTACAAGGAAAATATTCACAGGATCTCCCTGGAGATTCTCCTCAGGAATTCAGAAATCCTTCATGGGACATATTTTAACTCCATCAAGAGCCAAAAAGGATCATGTTCAGGACGCTTTCATTTTCCTAGATCTGACTGAAGAGTCTTTGGCCATCACCCACAGCACAACTCCACCCAACCTTTATAGCACTTACCTGCAAGAGCTGCACTGGATGCTGGACACAGAGGACTTAGCCCTGTGACAGTCTGCAAAGCACAGGATCAGAAACTTTAGTCACTTGAGCAATCTAGTCTCTAGGTCACTATCTGGCTTATTGTATCAGCACAACACAACTGAGATCCCCAGCTCTTCATGCAGGGAAACAGCTGCTTGGTCATTTCCACACTTGTTACTCCTGTTCCCCCATGAGGTCCTAGATCAGCCCCAGCTGTGAGGCCAACCAGCCGGCTTTTTGGCTCCATGGAGGAGATAAAGCTCAGTCAGATTGCACAAAGGTTTCCAGTGACTGACAAGAACCGTGCAAAGAAATCCAACTTTTTTTTTTTTTAATAGATTTAAATTTTTCTATAATCACTGTCTTCAAAGGTTTTACAGTTTTGGTATAGAGACACCTCATTAGCATGTGCCAACCAAACCATGTCTGCCACTGATTCAACAGGACCTGTGGTCAAGACACGTTTCAACATGGCTTTCAGACTGCTGCAGACAAAGCAAGCAAGGGCTGCTTCTCTGGTTAAGGTCTAAAGCAGCCTCAGAAAGATGCTTCCTCTACTTTCTTTACTCCTTCTTTGCTAATAGAAGTCTTCTCTTTTCTTTTTTTTTTAATAAAAATAAATCTAACAAATTT